ATTCCAACACTTAAATTCTATGATTCCTATGAGAACTGTCCAAAATTAAGATTTCTGTCCTGAGAACAACTCAGACTTCAACATTTCATTTCAAGCTGAAAGAAAAAATACATAAAAATAAATATATATAAATCTGTATATATTAAAAAAAACCTTGAGACTTTCCATGAGTTACTTAGAATACTCATTTGGCTGTGTCAAAACTTTCCACTTCATATCAAAATATTTCATCTTGATCTTGATAGTATCTAAAATAATTACCCAAGCAAAACACTTCCCACTATGGATATTGTCCCACGAGTCTTTTGGTAGAGCAAACAGAAATCTTTGCTATCAAATTGAAATGCTTCAGTAGGTTCTCATTCCTGATATTGATCTTAATCAAAGAAGAGCTGGAAAACTTCCAGTGGGAAATTTTGGGCTAATGCAGATGTAAGAAGTTGGGAGTGTTGTCACACCCACAGAGTGAAGGTTGCTGCTCTGTGTCAGATTTATTGCATTTCCGTTCTGTCCCTTTTAAATTTTATTGGGAAGGAGGGAAAAGACCTGTGGGAGGGCTGGAGATGAGAGATCCAGAGATCAGAAGAGAGAGAACTGGAAAAAAATGGGGCTGGAAGGAAGAAGAGATTTGTGCATCACAGAGGGGCCAAAAAGGTCACCAAGCCAAAGTGTTGTTTCCTTTGTAGGCACTGTTAGCCTTGTGGGAATCAGCTGCTCCTAGGAGAACGTTGCCTTTTGGTCTGCCAGGAGTATCAAGGAGCAAAGCTGATGCTCACACACCGTGTCAGGAATGTGTCTTGCACAACAGCCCTGACCAGGGCACTCTGAGCCAGCCAGGAAGAGCTCTGAGCTGGGAACAGGCTCTTTACAGGCTGTAGAGACAAAGTCCTACCTCGCAGCTCATTCAGGTGGAGAAGAAATGTTCCTAGAGAGCTTTGGGAGGGTTGGCACTTCCAAAACATTGATGTCAGGAGCAGCTTTGGGTCCTGGGAGGCCAATATTAAACGTGCCAACATCTACATACAGCACTGGGATGGCAGAGGAGGACAGAGTTGCACATGGGCTCTGTCCCTCCACATCTCCCCCTGAGGTAGAGCTTCAGCCTCCTGCTCAGCTTCTCCTCCTCCTCTTCCTCCACAGCTCATGAGGGTGCCACATGTGACCTGCTGGGCAAGATCTACCTCAATGGGGAGAGCTTCCAGCCCACCTGCAAGCTGCAGTGCATCTGCATGGACGGGGCCATCGGCTGCATCCCACTCTGCTCCGACGACCTGCGGCTGCCGTCGCCCGACTGCCCCAACCCACGGAGGGTGAAGTTCCGCAACAAGTGCTGTGAGGAGTGGGTGTGTGAGGGAGGCAGTGAGGAGAACCACCTAGGAACAGCCATGGCAGGTGGGCCAGGGCCAGGAGATGTTTGCTGGGGAATAGGGATGGATCCAAAGTGCTTGTGGATTGGGGTGCCAACTGATTGGGCACTGGTGGTGGCTGCTTGCTTCGTGCACCATCGTGTGGGTACCAAGTGTTGGGCTCCAGAGCTATTGAGGTAAGACCTTGGTGATGCTGAGGGGAGGCTTGTGCATCCTGTGGTGTCACAGCAGACCTGGCTGGAGCTTACCTGCATCCTCCTCCTACTGAGAGGCCGAGCAGCTCACGAGATGGGCCAGAGCTTTGCTGCTGTTCCTGAAGTGTTGGGAGCAGTCATGGAGTTGCCACGCTTTGTCCCAAAGCCCTGAGCATTGCTTTGTGTCTCTTCCACATGGCTCAGTTTTCAGGGAGGATCCAGCTCACAAGCCAGAGCTGAACAACCTGCAGGAGAACTGCCTGGTGCAGACCACGGAGTGGAGCGCGTGCTCCAGGAGCTGTGGAATGGGCATCTCCACCCGCGTGACCAACGACAACCCCCAGTGCCGCCTGGAAAAGGAGACTCGGCTCTGCATGGTCCGGCCCTGCGACTTCCCCATGGAGAAAACCAAGGTACAGGGCTTGGGAAGAGGGGACAAAACACCCCAGGGATGCCAGGGATAACCTTGGGGCTGATCCCAGCTCACAGGGTTTGCTCTGTGTCCTGTTGTGCTGCGATGGGCAGTGGGACACAGCGATGGAGCACAAGCCTTGGTCTACCTTTCCTGTCCTGGCTGTGTTAACTCATCTGCTCTCTCTCTAGAAGGGGAAGAAGTGTGTGAGGACCCCAAAGCCACGGCAGAGCCTCCACTTTGAGTTTTCAGGCTGCACCAGCTCACGCTCCTACCGGCCCAGGTTCTGCGGGAGCTGCTCGGACGGGCGCTGCTGCACCCCGTACCTGACCACCACCGCCGACGTGGAGTTCCGCTGCCCCGAGGGAGACTTCTTCCACAGGAAAATGATGTTCATCAAGATGTGCTCCTGCCACTACGACTGCCCCCGAGACAATGACATCTTCCTGGCCACGTACCACAGGAGGATGATTGGAGACCACGTCAAGACCGAGCGGCAGTAGCTCTCTCCGTGCCATATCCACAGGCCAAGGGGTCAGGAGGGCTCTGCAGTGCTTTGGTGGCTGTGTCCTGGGACAATGCAGCCTCTTCCCCCTCTGTGAGGGGCTGTGCTCTCCAGAAGAGCACTGTTCACACCAGAGGTCCCAGTGGCTATCTTAACGAGCTGAGGTGCATGTTGGAAGAGCCCCAGCTGCTCCAGGTCCCTGACCCTCACCCACGGTGGTGCAAAGGTCAGCAAAGGTGCCAGAAACAGGCTTGAGCTGCAAACTTGATCCATGTTCCTGCTGGCCAGAGGAGAGAGTGGATCAAAGCTGTGTGGCTCCAGCCTGTCTCCAGCCCTGAGCACAGTGGGTACAGCCTCTGATTCAGACCTCAGGAGCCTTTCCAGCATGAACTGGGGCTGGGCCAGGCTGCCAGACTAAAATACGTCCCCTCTGGGTGCTGCTCCAGGCAGTTCTTAGTGCCTTGATGAGCATTTCATAGAACCATGGAATAGTTTGGTTTGGAAGGGACCTTAAATCCCATCCCACTCCCTGTCATGGTCTGGGACACCTTCCACCAGCTCAGGTTGCTCCAAGTCCTGTCCAACCTGGCCTTGAACACTTCCAGAGATGGAGCAGCCACAGCTTCTCTGGGCAACCTGTGCCAGAGCCTCAGCACCCTCACAGGGAAGAATTTCTTCCTGATCTCTTCAGAAATGGCTCTGGGGTGGGAAAGGGGCTGAATCTCAGCAGCTTGCACACCCATGGTGGGGCTGCAGTTGTGTTTTGGCTCCGGAGTTTTTGCCCTGGAGGGTTAGAAGGAACACTGTTCAGCTTAGGTCTGCCTGGGGTGTATAAGGCACTGGGAAGAAAAATTCCCATATTTGTAAATGGAGCAGATCCCTTCTGGAGTTACTACGGCAGTGGCATGGAAGGCTGTTGGCACTGGGTTCTCCAGCCATGGGATTTCTTCCTGGCCACAGACCTGGTGGAATCTCTCTGCTGTTAAGGACATCCCATTCCCAGCCCAAAGCCCCAGGAGAGGGATGCCCAGGGTGTGTGGCCAGCAGCAGTGCAGCCCCTGCACCTCAGCAGCTCCACAGGACCACTGAGGTTTGGTTGTGTAGAAATCTGCAGATTTTCAGCAGAAACATCCAGGCACAGAGCCTGATCCTGTTCCTTCAAGCATCCCTGCTTGCACCACAGGAAGTCACAAGGAATTCCTGTTCCAGCTGAGCAGGAGCAGCAGCCCCAAGGCTGCACCTCTCCACCTCTCCCCCCTCCCAAATCAGAGCCTGATGCCAGGGGACAGTCCCAGCTGTCCCCACCTGCTGCCCTGAACCCCCAAACTCTGCTGACACACCAGCTCAGGGCCTGTGTCCCATCCCAGCCCCTTTCCTTGCTCTCTCAGCCTGCAGAAACTCATGAGCCTTCAGCCTCCTGTAATCAATTTGAATTGTAAATAATTGATCTGATGTTGTTTCTGTTTTTAAGGCCTTTGTACAGTTCCTGTATCCCCTTGGCACAGCCCTGCTTGGGCTGTTCCCTGCTTGGAGCTTCTCTTCTGCCTCTCATGCAGTTGTGGAGCCTCAAACCATGCTGAGGTTGCACTTCACTCCATGCTAATAAATATCTCTTTATTTTTTATATCCCTGAACACATCCCTCTGTGCAAGGCACATCCATGGCTCTTCCTCTGGCCTTTCCCTAGTGCCACCAGCTTGCTAGGACCAGTGCTGGGCCCCTCTGTAGAGCTGGTGGCTGGGTGTGGAGGGGAGGGGGGTCCTGGGTGGGTCCTTTCCCCCCTCTTTAATAGTAGCAGGAGTGGTGTTGGTGTCTCATGAGCACCTCTGCAGCCCACAAACCACAGCTCCTGCACTGGGGAGAGGGACAAGCAGAGCCCCCCTCTGCCTGCTTAAGGATCCAGAAGTCCTTAATACCTGATTAAAAATAACCCTGGGAGCAGATGTGAGCAGAAGTCGGTGATAACAGGGCCAGAACACGAGGGGCTTTGCAATGGCTTAACAGCTTATGGATTCATCCCCCTCTCATCACATTAGCCAGGGGCTCCCCCCTTTCCCACTGGCACTGCAGTGGGGGGGAGAGGCTCTTCTTCCCCCCCAAACCTTCTTCCTCCCCAGGGCAGGCTTAGGGCTCCCAGGGAGGGGCAGGTGATGGGGGACCATCATGCTGGAGCTGTAGGGTGTTGAGGCTTTGAATCCAGGGTAGGATGCAGTCCATTGCTCTCTGGGGGCTGGAAAGGCCCTGAGGGATCTGTGGGGGACACATGGTGAGTCCTTTTCAGTGTCCCCAGGGTGGTGGCCATTAGATGGCACCAGGCACCTCCCCGTGGGGACACCCTGTCCCCAGGGCAGGGTGCTGTGGGGCGCAGGGCCTTGGCCTGCCCCTGGGGACCTGAGTGGGTGCAGGACACAAGGGCAGCACCCACTGCTCCAGCCCTGCCCTGGGCACCTAGTGCACCCCAGGGCCACCACCAGGACAGCAGAGAGGGCACTGAGGCCCATGGTGCTGGTGAGAGCCAAATTCCAGCCTGCTGCCACCCCCA